GAACTTGAAATTTTAAATTGTAATCTATTAATAATTTTATTATCTAATTTATAAGTTGATAAGTTTTGTAAAAATAACTCATCAAAAAATTTGAAATTAAAATTATCATTTTTAATTTCTATATTAAAATCTTTTAATAATTTTGAAGAATCAAAAAAATTGATTGTAAATCTTTTTTTAAAAATATTATGTAATTTTATTTTTTGTAATTGATCTTTTCAAAGTATTTTTTTTAAAGTTTTTAATTTAATTTTTTCATCTGAAAGAAAATCAATTTCAATAAAATCATTTTTAATTTGAATAAGAAAAATTTCTTTATCTTTTAAAAATATATCAATTAAATATAAACTTGAAATTATTTTATTTTCTAAAAATATATCGTCTATATAAATATTTTTATCATTTTTATCTTTAAAAGTATTAAATAAACTTATTAGTTTTATTTTTTCGTTTATAATTATTGACATTTTGACTTATCTTTTTTAAAAGTTGCAATATATCCTAAATTTCTTAATTTCTCATTATAATCTAAACCAAAACCAATCAAAAATTCATTTGGTGCATCAAAAACATAAAAATCAGGTTTTAAAATTGATTTTTGAACTTTTTTATAAAGTAAACTTATTATTTTTATATCTTTTATATTTTTATTATTTAAATGTTTTTTAATGCTTTCAACTGTATGACCTGTTTCAACAATATCTTCAATAATTAAAATATGATGATTTTCTACTGAATAATCAACATCTAAAACTATTTTTGGATTATTGATTTTTTTTTCTAATCCACCAAAGTAAGAACTTACAATCATAAAATCAATTTTAAAATCAAAATTTAAATATTTAATTAAATCAAACATAAATGGACCACAACCTTTTAAAATACCAAGTAATAAAATTGGTTCTTTTATATTTTTATATTTTTTATTTAATTTTTCAGCAAGTTCAATAATACCTTTTTGTATTTCAGCATTTGAAAAAATTATTCTATCAACTAGTTTATGTTTTTTATTAAATTCTTTTATCATATAAATGTTTAATTAATTTTACTTGAAAATTATCAAAAAATTCTAATTCTATTTCATAAATATTATTTATATTCTTTATAAAATTTAAATCATATTTAATTTTATTGGAAATATTAGGTGCAAATGAAACTAAAAAATCACTAACAACTTTTAAAATAACTAACAAAATATAAATAACAATGTTTAATTTTTCTATTTTATTTTGTTGATACAAAACTCATGGTTCTTCTAATGCAATTTTTTTATTTCCATAATCTAATAAATAAAAAAGTTCATTAAATGATTTTGCAATTTTAAAATTTTTAAAATTCTTTTTAAAATTATCAATAAATTTTTTAATATTTTCTTCTTCTTTTAATAATTTTTTTTGATATACTTTTTTTATATTTTTAATATTAAAAAAATTTATTTGATATTTTTTTATCATACTTAATAAACGAAAATGAAAATTACTTAAATTTTTTACAATATGTGAATTATAAAATTCATCAAATAAATTCATTTCAAATTCAACATCTAATTGTGGATTCATTAACTTTGCTAAATATAAACGTGCAACATCTACATCATATTTTTCTAAAAAAACACTTGCAGATAATACATTACCAATACTTTTTGACATTTTTGTGTTTTTATTTAAAATTCAACCATGAACTAAAAAATTATCAGGATATTTAAAACCTTGTTTTTTTAATAAAATAGGTCAAAAAATTAAATGAAATTTAATAATTTCTTTACCTAAAATTTGAATAATTTTTGAATCTTTAGATTTTCAAGTTTCATTTATTTCTTTCAAATTAAATGGTGATAAATAACTTAATAATGCATCAAATCAAACATAAGCAGTTTGATTTTCTTTTTCATTTAATTTAATTCCTCAATTAACTTTACTTCTACTTATTGAAAAATTAATTTCACCTTTTTTTAAATATTCATCTAATTGATTTAAAAATTTAATATTTTTATTTTTATTTTTATATTCTTGAATAATTTTTTTAATTTCATTTAATTCTTCTTTTTTAATTGAAAGAAAATAATTTTTTTCTGATAAATCACTTAATTCATTTTTACATATTAAACATTTATTATCTAAATTTTTTTCAAAAACAAAATTTTCACATGAAATACAATATTTTCCAGAATAATTTTTTAAAACAACTTCATTTTTAAAAAATAATTTTTTAAATAAATTAATAACAAATTCTTTATGTTTTAAATCAGTTGTTTTAACAAAATGAGTATAATTTACATTTGCTTTTTTTCACAAATCTATTATTTTATTTGTTTGAAAGTCAACAAATTCTTTAGTATCTAAATTATTTTCTTTTGATTTTTTAAAAATTTTTTGACCATGTTGATCAACACCAGTTAAAAAATAAACATTATAATTTTCATTTTTATAAAATCTAGATAAAAAATCTGCATAAAATGTAGAGTATAAATGACCTAAATGTAATTCAGAATTACAATAATAAATTGGTGTTGTGATTAAAATAACTGGTTTTTTTATTGACATATTAAGATAAACTTATCTTAAATCCAGGACTCATAGTTGTTGAAATATGAATACCTTTAATATATTTACCTTTTATACTTTTTGGACGAATTTTATTTATTTTTTCAAAAATATATAAATAGTTTTCTTGTAATTTTTCAATTGATTCATTTAATGAACCTAATACAAAATGAACTGATTTTGAACCATCAGTTGCAAAAGTTCTTTTACCTTTTTTATATTCATCAATAATTTGTTTTAAATTTCTAGTTACAGTTCCATGTTTTACAGATGGCATAAGTTTTCTAGGACCTAAAATAGAAGCAATTTGTCCTAAATTATTCATTATTTCTGGCGTTGCAATTACAACATCAAAATCTATTTTTTTTGTTTTTTTAATTTCATCAATTAATTCAATACCACCAATTTTAAAAACTTCATTTGGTAAAATATCGCTTTTATGATCTTTTGTAAAAACAACAATTTTTAAATCTTTAGCTTTAGCATTAGGTAAAGTATAAAAACCTTTTATATTATGTTCATTTTTTTTAGTATTTAAATTTAAATGATAAGTAATATTTAAAGTAGTATCAAATTTTTCTAATTTATTATTCTTTAAAATATTTAAACAATCTAAAAAACTTAATTCTTTTTTGTTTCAATATTTTTCTTTTCATTGTAAATAATTTTTACTTCTTTTTTTCATATTTATTTACTTTCCTCTTGTTTAATACCCATTCTTTTCATTGTTCCAATTACTATTTTTTTTGCTTGATTTAAATCATCAGTATTTAAATCTGGCATTTTAATTTTTGCAATTTCTGAAATTTGTTCATCATTTAAAATTCCAATAAAATCTGTTTTTGAATTAGATGAACCTTTTTCAATTTTTGCATATTGTTTAATTAATGCAGAAGTAGGAGGTGTTTTAATTTCAAATGTAAATGATTTATCATTATAAACTGTAATTAAAGCAGGAATAATTTGTCCTTTTTTATCAGATGTAGCAGCATTAAATGCTTTACAAAACTCCATAATATTTACCCCAACAGATGCTAATGTTGGACCTGGTTTTAATTCACCACCAGGAAACTGTAATTTAACTTGTTTAACAACCTTTTTACTCATTATTTTCTTTTACACTCCAAAAATCCTACTTTAGTAGGTGTCATACGACCAAAAAATTCAACATTAACTGTTATTTGACCTGTATCATAATCAATTTCAATAACTTCACCTTCATATCCTCTAAAGACACCATGTGTAATTACAACTAAATCATTTATTTCAAAATCAATATCACTAGGTTTAAATTTACCATCTGATAAAACTTCAATTGTTTCAGAATTTTTTAAAATTTTATTAAATTCTCTTTTACTTATAAATATAGGATTTTTATTATATCCTCTTTCATAACTATTAAATCTCATAAAATGAGGTACTTTTAAAATTTGGTTTCTAATATCAATTGGAACTTCGCCTTTTATAGTATTTACTTTAATAAAAATTGTTCCTGGTCATTGATTTTTAATTGATTTTTTAGAATCTTTTTTTGGAACTTCAATAATTTTAGCCTCAATTCCATCAATATTAGAATTTAAAAACTCTAATACTTCTCAATCTTTATTTCTTCTACATTTAATAGAAATTCAAACTTCCATATTTTTTCCTTTATAACAATTTTAATGATTTAAATATTTCAATAAATAAAAAATTACTTCCTACCAATATCAAACCTAAAAAGAAAAATAACAATATTAATAAAACAAACATATTAATAAGTTGTTTTTTACCAATAAATTTTAGTTTAAATAATTGATAAAAATAAGAAAAAAACAAGTTCTTAATCCAAAAAATAAATCTAAAAAAATATTTTTTCATTATTAAATTTAAATTTAAAAAATATTTAAATTATTCTTTATTATATATCTTTTTAATTTACTTTTTGCTCTATGTAATGCATTGCTTATAATTTTATAATCTAAATTTAAAGATTTTACAATTTCAGCTAATTTATATCCTTTAAATTTAAGTAAAAAAACTTTTTTTTCTAAATTAGAAAGTAAATTTAATAAATATAAAATATCTTCATAATTATTTTTAGAATATAAACTAAAAGAATTAAAATTTATATGTTTATTATCGTCATATTCTTTAGAATAATTTACTTTTTGTTTATTTAAAGTAATATAACTTCTTAATTTAGTTAAAAAATTCCATTTTAAATTTTTTATAAGAAAAGTTTTAAATGGTATGTTTAAACTTGAATCAAACTTCAATAAATTTTTTAACAAATAAATATCTTTAAAATAAATTAACTCTTCATATTTAATTAAAATTTTAGGAAATTTTTTTAAAATTATTTTAATTGTAGCTACCATTCAAGAATCAAGTTCGTTTTTAATTAAAAAAAATATTTTTTTATTATAAGTAACTTGAAATGAATAAATTAAAAAATCTAAATTATCAATATTTTTGTTTATTTCTAATTTCATATAATATTATTGCAGTTGCAACAGAAACATTTAAAGATTCAACATGTTTCATTGGAATTTTAATTATAAAATCTGATTTTTTTATTAAAAGTTGACTAACACCTTTGCTTTCATTACCAATAATTAAAACTATATTTATATCTTTAAAATCAACTTTTCTATAATCTTTTGAATTTTCCATTTCAGTACTAAAAACTCAAAAATTATTATTCTTTAATTTATCAACTACCCTTGATAAATTATTTACTTGAATAATTTTTAATTTAAAAATATTTCCAGTAGTTGCTTTTATTACTGAATTAGTAACTAATGTTTGTTTTATTTTCGGAATAATTATAGTATTTACACCACAAGAAACTGCTGTTCTAATTATTCCACCAAAATTAAAGGGATCTTGAATATGATCTAATATTAAAACTAATTGTTTATTTAAATCATTTTTAATATTATTTAAAAATTTATCAAAATCATAATATTTAAAATCTAAAATTTCTGCTGCTATTTTTTGATGGTTTAAATTAGGAAAATTTTTTTCAAACTTTTCATTATTTCAAAAAAAAACTTCAATTCCCATTTTTTTAAATTTAAAATATGATTTATCATTTTTAGATAAAAAAACTTTTTTAATATAATTTGGTCTTTCTTTTAAAATTGTATAAATAACTTTTTTCCCACAAATTAAATTTTTCATAATTAAATAATAATTCTATTTTTTTTAAAATTTAAAAAATATTTTTTATAAAATATTTTTTTCTTTTAAAATTTCTCTTAATTTATCTGCTTTCTTAAAATCTTTGTTTTCAATATAACTATTTCATTTAATAATTTGTTTTTTTGTTACATCATTAAATTTAATTTTTTTAATTTTAATACCTAATAATTCAATACATTTTTTAAGTGTATTTTCAAATATTAAAATATCATCAAATTTAAAATTATTTAACAAATGATTTATATTTTTTAATTGATATGAAATTAAATCTAAACATTTAATAGTATTTAAATTATTTGCAAATGAATTTAAAAATTCATTAAATAAATTTTGATCAATTTCATGTGTTTCTTGAATATTTTTCAAAAATTTGTATAAATTTATTTTTTTAAATGTATTTTTAATTTTATTTTCAAAATTTTTACATGTATTTAAGTGTTTGAAATTAAAACTAATATCATTTTTATAGTTAGTAAAAGCAAAAAATATTTTTATTGTATTTGCAGAATAATCATTTAATAAATTTTTTACTAAAAATTTTTTAAAATTATCTTTTGATTTACTAATTTTTTCATATTCAAATTCAACAAATCCATTATGTAATCAAATAGTATTTTCCATTTTTTTATTAATTACATTTAAAATTGCATATTCATTTTCATGATGAGGAAAAATTAAGTCTTTACCACCACCATGAATAGAAAGTTTTTTTTTAAAATATTTATTAACTATTAAAGAACATTCAATATGTCAACCTGGTCTACCAAAACCTCATTTAGAAAATCATGTCTTACCTTTTGTTTTAAATTTTCAAATTGCAAAATCTTGAATATCTTCTTTATTATTTAAAATTTTATTTTCATTTTTTAAAAATTCTGTTTGCTTTTTAATTCTTCCATAACCTTTATCTTTACTAACATCAAAATAAATACCATCATGTGTTTTATAAACCATTTTTTTTTGAAATAATTCATCTATTAAATCAATAATAGGTTGAATATTTTTAGTAACATTTATTAATTTAGGAGTTTGTATGTTAAATTTTTTTAATAAATCTAAAAAGTTTTTTGTGTATTTTTTTGTTATTTCTTCTTCTGTTTTATTTTCTTTAATTGCTTTTTCAATGATTTTGTCATCAATATCAGTTATATTTTGTATAAATTCAAAATCATATTTAAATTCCTTTAACAAATTTGTAATTCAATTAAATATTACAACATTTCTAAAATTTCCAATATGTAAATCATCATAAACTGTTGGACCACAAAGATATATGTTTATTTTTTCATTTTTTTTTATTTCTTTAATTTTTTTTGTTTTTGTATCAAAAATTTTAATCATAATATTTTCTTTTTTTTAAAATTGGATTAATTGTTTTTCAAATAGAATAAATTATTAATGTGTTTATACTTAATTTAATTGGAGCAATAATTAATGATGTTTTTAAAAGAAAATCGGCTGATTTATTGGATTTACCTAATAAATCTTGATTCATATTTGTTGAAATACCAACACTTACAAAATATTCACTAATTACTGTTAAAAATAAAATAGGAATTATGTTATAAATAAAAATTTTTAATTTATTTTCTCTGTTTTGATTAAAAATTAAATAAACAATAATAAATAATGAAAATAAAATCAAACATATAAAAGTTAAAATACTAACATAAAAAACAGTAGTAGAAACTCATGATATATTTTGACCACCTGAAAATATAATTTTAATATTTTGTGGAAATTTTTGTATAAAATTTTTAAATAATTCATCATTTAAATTAATACTTTCAGAAAATAAATTTATTGTTGAAAAAGATAAAGTTAATAAAAATCAAAAACTTAAAAATAATAACAAAAATAAAATTTGTATAAAACGATATGCTTTTTTATCTTTGATATTTTTTACAAAACCACAAATTATACCTTGAGAAACAATAATTAAAGTTATTTTTCAATGAAAATAAACCGGAACAAAAGAAACAACACCAATTTCTGTAAGTAAAGCAGTCATTAATCCATATCATGGACCAAAAAAAAATCCTGAAATCTTTACAATTAATGATTGAAATCCTATCCTTAGTGTAGGTATTACAGCAAATGAACCTACATAATTTAAAGTTATTACAAAACTTGTACCAATTGCACCAAACAATGCAATTGTTACCATAGATCTTATTTTTTCTCGTATTGAAATTTTAATTAATGATGTTTGTCTTTTATATTTGTATAACAAAGAATATATAAAAAAAATAGAAACAATTAATATAAAAGAAATTATAAACATCCAAAAAATTACATTTGAATAAATACCTGTTTTCATTTTTTTATCTTTTTATTCTTTTAATCTTACATTTAAAATTTCTGGTTTATATTTTTCTGAAATTTTTTCTATATTATTATTAGAAACTTCAATATCAATTTGTTTGTTACTTATTGAAACAAGAAATGTTTTTTGTTCTTTTGATTTAGGATTAATTTTTTTAGTTAATTCTAATTCAATATTTTTAAATGTAATTGAATTTTCTTTTTTATCCATTCAATTATTTTTTAAATTTGGACTATCTAAAATGACTTTCATTTCTATTAATTGATTAAATTTATTTCATTGATTTTGTAAATCTTTATTTAATTTTTTTATTATTTTTTCTTCAAGTTCATCACTTGCTTTATTTTGGTTTAAAAATGAAAATTTTTCTATAAATAATCTTTCTGCTTTTTGAAATTTCTTTTCATTATCTTTATTGTTAAAATTTATACATACAATTTTTTGTGTAACTTCTTTCCCATCACTTACACCACAACCAATAAATACTTTAGCTGTAAATAAAATAATAAAAATCATTAATATTGGTAATATTAAAAATTTTTTAAAATTTTTTGATTTATTCAAATTAATTATCATCTTCTGAAAACTCCATAAAAGTTTGTTTTTCGGGAAAAAACATTATATCTATTTTACCTGTTGGACCATTTCTATGTTTTGCAATATTTATTTCTGCATTATGTGGTATTAAATTATAGTCTTTTATATTATCTACTGTTTTTTTTATATAATAATGTTCTCTATATAAAAACATAACCACATCTGCATCTTGTTCAATTGAACCAGAGTCTCTTAAATCAGATAATAAAGGATGCTTATTTTCTCTTTTTTCAACACCTCTTGATAATTGTGAAAGACACAAAATAGGAACATTTATTTCACGTGCTATTTCTTTTAATTGACGTGTTCAATTTGAAACTTCTAAATTTCTATTATTATAATTTTGTTGTCCTTTTATTGAACTTAAAAGTTGTAAATAATCAATAACAATCAAAGCAATTTTACGTCTTCTTTTTCAATCTCTTAATTTAAAACCAATTTCTGCAACATTAATACTACTTGAACTATCAATAAAAATTTTTTTACTTTTTAAATTTTCTATAAAATTTAACTTTAAATTTTGATTAAATTCTTCTTTATACATTGAAAAAAAATCAGTTCTTGATCTAATAATTTTTTTTGCTAATTGTTCTGATGACATTTCTAATGAAAAAAAAATTACATCTCCATCTTCATTTTTTTGATCTACAATTGGAGAAATAAAATTTAATGCTAAAGTTGTTTTACCCATTGATGGTCTTGCAGCCAAAATAATTAAATCGCCCTTTTGAAAACCTTTTAACTTTGTATCTAACTTTGAAAAACCAGTTTTAAACCCATTAACATCTTGTTCAGAATAATGTTTGGCTTCTTTAAAAAATGTTTTTACAATTTTTGATAATGGAATAAATTTTTTAAAATTTCTATTAAAAAAATCTTCAATATCATTTAATTTTTCTCTTAATTTTGAAATTAGTGCATCAAAATCAGAGCTTGTTTTTGTTTCACTTATAAGTGATTTTAATTCTAATTCTATTTTTCTTTTAGTTGAATTTTTAATTAATGCTTCAACATATATTTGCATCATTGAAGTTGGAACATATATATCAACAATTTCTGTTAAATAAATCCAACCACCAATTTTTTTAATATCACCATCTAATTCTAATTTTTGAGCAAGAAGATTTAAATCTAATGTATTTTTATTTATCAAAAATAATTCTTTAATTTTCTTAAAAATAAATTGATTTTTAGAATCTACAAAGTCTTCCTCTCTTATTTTAGATAAAATCTCTTCACGTTTTTCATTTGATTCTAAAATAAAATGAAGTATTGCTTTTTCAATATTTTCAGATGAAATTGAATTATAATCTTGTTTCATTATTTATTCTTTTATTATAAATTTTTTTATATTTTCAAATTATTTTTTTAAAATATTTAATATTTTTTTAACAACTTCAACAACACTCTTTTTTTCAACAATAGCAGCAGCTCTATCTTTTGCACCACCACCACCTAACTCTCTACAAACTATTTGTACATTAAATTCTTTCAAACTTCTTGCAGAAACAAAAACTTGATTTTCATTTCCTGCAATTACAAAAACAGTTTCAATTTGATAATTTTTTAAAAAATCATCTGCAATTGATGCAACAATTTGTGTTTTACTATTATCATCTTCTTTATATAAAAGAGCAATTTTTTCATCAAAAAGTTTAATTGAAAAATCATTAAACTTTTTAGATTCATCAACCTTTTTTTTATTTAAAGTTTTTAAAATATCAATTTGTGTTTGAATATCTATATCATGTCTTGTAATAAGTTCAATAACTAAAACAGTATTTTT